ATTTGCTAAAACTAAAATTGGACTTAAGGCCAAATTTTTGACTTTTTGCTAAAGTAATAGTATGACCTATATGAGAGATGTCTGGGGTCCTATAATAATGCAGATTATATGTTTAGCGATAGTAAATTTGAATAATAAATATTGAAAATAGTAATAAATACCATCAAATTTAGTATATATATAAATAAACTTTTATATTATACTTATATTATAACCAAATATGTTTTACATAAAGGTGTAGCGACTTAGTGTAGTAGTCTAGTTGTCACCTTCTCCAAGTGGCAGGTCTAGAGTTCAAATCTCACAGACAACGATATTTGAAAAAATAGGCTTGTACTTCGATTAATGGCTATGCTTATCGGTTGGATCTAGAACTAATTTGTAACTTCAGTCATACCATCTTGTAATGAAAGCTTTGGTGCAATAAATCCGAGGAACCGGCATAACCGAAAACCTATTTGGTAAGTTCCAAATTGGGAGTAGCAGTGATCTTCGACAATATCACAGAAAGGCTGAATTCAAATCAGGGCCCGAGATTGGAGAACCAAGCGACCAGGTCCGCTGGCAAAGGACACTAGCCGAACTGCTAGGTTGTCATACCGGAGGAAAAGGTCATATCATATGCTCCGAAAGTATGGACCAAGGAGATGGCGTCCTTCAGGCACCTAAAGCCTAGACAGACCAACTCATCCAAGTTGCCGGCTAGAAGTAAAAGTGAGACCGATGAGGAATTTGGGTAAGAAGATGGTCTGAATGCGGGTACCGGGGTTGCTGTAAACCTTATAAGGGCAAGGAGTACGTAATAGGCGACTAATTAGAAAGATTGTGCTTAAAATACAGATCGGGTTATGGCAGCACCCCAAAAGTTGGCTTGAGATATGAACTCGGTGGCGGCAGTACAACAGATACTAGTTAAAAAGAAGTTACCGAACATGCAGATGAGTGCATGTGTGGAACATGCACCACTCTGTTAGATTTATCACAAGGATAAATGTTTTCCAAATTAGGTTGATGGCTAAAGTCTTAGAGTCTTTAATGGTAAATTACTTTGTGAAGGGGTATATTAGAAGGAAACATGTAATGTCGGTTAAAGCCAGAGAGTTTAAATAGATACCCCCCTAGTTGGGGTGCAGGTACGGCAGTTAGTGTAGAACCTTCAGGCGGACTACTTAAATTAAACACTCAAAAGGTGCATATGTGGCTAGTTGTACTCTCGTGATACTGATATAATATGTAAAGCCGATGTTAAAATTAATTAATATTAGCCTACCTGCTTGGACTAATAAAGTGCCAAGGGCCTAAATGATCACCTTAATATTAAAAAAAAAAAAAAAAAAAATGTTTTACATAATTTGATTGGCTAAATATAATATCACATAACTTATTTGTAGGTCCAATAATAGTCCAGTCCAATACAGTTGTAGTAAACTGGACTGGATAAAATTGGACTAGTCCAGTTCAATAACAACCCTAAGTGGAGTATATATGAATTGGTAAATACTATAAATTGCCGCATAAACCACCTTGTGTGACAAATAATGTAGATCAATTTTTTAAAATAATATTTATATACAATATGTGATATAAATAATTATGTAAAACATGTGATTTTTAATTTTTCACTATGTGAAAAATCGCATCACACTAGGTGGTTTATGCGGCAATTTACAGTAGATTAAGGTTCTGAGTTAAATTAGAATTTAGAGTGCTTCTTGATAGAGGTTCCCAAAGAAGTCTATCTCACATGTGAAATGGTATAGACAGTTGTATCTGGGTGCCATATAAGGTAGCCAAGTGAGGTTATAACAACTATTTAGTTAGATAGTTAAATATATATAATATATATGTACTGTTTAGTTAAATATAATAAGCAAAATCATTGAAGTTTAAAAAAAAAACAATAATAATAATTTATGGGAATTGTATTTCCACACCCTATTATTGATATTTCCACACTCTATGTAGATCACTTTTTTAAAAACTTTGATCGAAGATATCTCGATACCCATCTAACCAAATTCGATCAGCTTTTTTTTATTTTAATTATAGAAAGCCATAGAATACAAAGAAAAAAAGTTGATCGAATTTGGTCAAGTGGGTGCCAAGATATCTTTGATTAAAGCTTTTGTAAAATTTAAAACATCTATCAAATATAAGCTGTGGCAAAATTGTTTACAAACTTTACTCAACACCCACCAAACCAAATTCGATCAACTTTTTTTTATTTAAATTATAGAAAGCCGTAGAATTCAAAGAAAAAAAGTTGATTGAGTTTGATCAGGTGGGTGCCAAGATATCTTCGATCAAAGTTTTTGTAAAATTCAAAACGTCTATCAAATCTAAGCTGTGGCAAAATTGTTTACAAAATTTGATCGAAGATATCTCGGCACCCACCTGACCAAATTTGGGCAACTTTTTTTTATTTAAATTATAGAAAGCCGTAGAATTCAAAGAAAAAAAGATGAACAAATTTGGTCAGATAGGTGCCAAGGTATCTTCGATCAAAGTTCTTGTAAAATTCAAAACATCTACCAAATATAAGCTGCGGCAAAATTGTTTACAAACTTTGATCGAAGCTATCTCGGCACCCACCTGACCAAATTCGATCAACATTTTTTCTTTGTATTCTACGGCTTTCTATAATTAAAATAAAAAAAAGCTGATCGAATTTGGTTAGGTGGGTGTTGAGATACCTTCGATCAAAGTTTTAAAAAAAGTGATCTACATAGGGTGTGGAAATATCAAAAATAGAGTGTGGAAATATCAATTCCCTATAATTTTAAGAGTAAAATTGCTTTAAATAATGTACTACAGGTAGTACACTAAATTTGCAGAAAAATAGCAGTTAAAAAATAATTTTTATTTCAACAACTTTACTAATAATATCAAAAAAAATTTTGCCAGATGAAACTATAGTATTTATCAGATTTTTGTATATAAAAATTTTTTGGATTTATAATTTTTTAGATTTTTAATGCATTTTGGTATACTGTACTACAGGTAGTATAAAAGGTGAAATCCTATCCATAATGTTTTTCTAGATTTTAAAATAAAGTTTACTTGATAATTACCTAATCAAATTCTTTAATTTAATTTTACGATTGCATAAAAATAAAATTTTCGAGTGAATTTGGGGGTTGTCTAAAGCGAAGCAGAATCACGCAATGTGACCAATTAAATTATAAAAGCAAAACAAGAAAGAAAAACGAAAACTTGAAAAATACAAAAAACAGCAATCTAAGTAAAAATGCCGGGAAGGCAATATTGCATATATAACTACTTAAAACCTGTAATATAAGACATCCCTAACCCTAAAGTTAATTCAACAAAGTATATATAAAGAATACGAATAGCAAAAGTAAAAATAAATTATATATATATAATAATAGGGTTACTATAAACACTAAACACTAATTTTCTATTGCCATATCTCATAAGCTCGCTAAATCATTAGTATGCGGCGCTCTAAATAAAAGTGCTTAACGCCCCAAAAAATCCTAAGTTTTCCATTATAATTTAAGTTGTAAATTATAATAAATACTTTTAACAACCTGATACATAACATAAGCACCAGGATCAGGAACACCAGAATCTTTGATATCATCATAAGAAATATAGGTTGATCTGCCAAATTTGGGCTTTAAAAATTTAGTAGACGCCACACTATCTTTAGCCGAATCTACTGCAGACTTTAAAGCTTTTAAGACGCTGTCTTCGGAATCCAAAATGCTTGAAAAAGTGTTGATAAATGGAATTAATACATCCATCATTGTACGGTCGCCAATTCTAGCAGGTGTATAATTTTCAAGTGTTGCCAATGCATTCTGGAGAAATAAAATAAAAAAAATGTATCATTGAGAGGTGTTATAATCATATATCATCATTAACGATGTAAGTATTTACTGCTCAATCGTAATAACACCAGGGAAACCAAAATTCCCAACAATTCAATTTTATGATCTCACAGTAAATAATTTATAAATTTTTGGGTCATTGACACCCACGATAAGCAATATTATTAATGTTATGATGAGTTCTATTTATTGTGGCAGCTGATACCGAAATTTTGAGCTTTTTTTTAGGACTAGATTAGGATTTAGATATTAGTAGGCATATAGATTTAAATGGACCCAAAATTAGGCATCGGCCAATTTCAGCACACCGGTAAGTCGCTATACTTCGTTAGTGATATTTTCCCAGAAATTTAGTGCTGGCAAAATATCAACAATATGAAGTCAGCTCTGAATATAACGAACCTTTTATAACGAATCATATGAGTGACGCCAAGGAATATGGGACATTGGTTTTTATTCAAATAATAATTGATAAACCAATGTCCCATTTTCCCCATATGGAGGTGAGTCAAGCAAATTTTTTATGACAAAAAATTTTTTATAACTTTATACAAGAATAACTCAACAAAAGCTTGATCAAATTTAATAAACCATTTTTTAAATAATTTTTACAAATTTGTAGAATTAATTTAAAAAATTTTTATTAAATTTATTAAGTCTTTGTTAAGATATCCTTGTTTAAAAATTTAAAAAGCTAATTAAAAAAATATATTTGATTTTGTTAACTCGACCTCATATAATGAACTTTTATCTCAAACCTGTTATTAAGTTCGTTATACTGTATAAAACTTCAGAACCGCCGGCTCATTAAATAGAATTTTGACTAATGTCAAGCTAACAAAGTAATATCCATAATTATAAAATATAATGAAAAAAAAAATTCAGACCTTCAATGCTTCTGCCCAGCACTTTGCATTAATGAATTTTTGATTGTCTTCACTAAGCTGATAATTTGTAGCCTGTCTCAAACTATTTGCGAGTGCATATAAAAAGATACTAAAAATATAACCGTTTTAATCAATGAAAGTAATTATATATATATATATGTTATGTGACAGAATGATTTAATAGTTATAATGTTTATTTACCAAAATAGACAACCGATCGTTCCCCCTTGTTTTTCTAAAATATTGCCAATTTGCACAGTTGCTTCAACAGGATCATGCGTAATAATTTGGCATTCTTCCAAAGCTTTTATAATATCTAAAATAAAAAGAGATCGAAATTAGAATAATTAGATCATTTTATTCAATATGAAATTTAAGCGATAAGTTAATTATATACACAACCAATTGCGCAGTTCTTAACTGTAGTTCCGCAGTCACCATCTCCAGCAACCGTATCATAATGGGTGATATCAGGTTCAGCCAGAATAATCGCATTACATACAGATTTCAGAGTTGATTCAAAAAGTTTGGGATCTAATATAAATAAATAAACTAATTTAACAATATTCCAGACAATATTTTAATATATGCTTACCACAAAGAATAGTCTGGGGAAATTTATCATCAGATTTCTTTATGCTTGAATTGGAAACCTTTTCGTCTAATTTAGTATCTAAGCTAGAACAATCGAGATGCACTCGATTAACCCAACCTGCAGTTTCCACATGCTGATCCAACATTTGTATTATGTCTTGATCTTTTGGTAACTTGAGTATAGTCAATGAGAAACCTGGCATGTTAAATGATGTCATAAATGTTCCTGTATATAATCTTGAAATATGGAATTTCCTTTGTTCTATTTAATAAATGACGTATATATTATTAATTGGAGATGTTGCTAAATTGAGAAACATTTGAAATCGCTTATTGCGTCGCGTAATGAGAGATATTGCTCCATTATTTGACGCAAATATGAAAACCCAAACCTAAATATAACGCCGCTTCGTAACTATAGCGAAATAATTCACATGTAGAAAGACCACCAAGGTTATTAACAAGTAAAACAATCGAATTTTTCTCCGGATGAATATCTAAATAAGATCTTTCAGGATCATCTGTATTTATTATTGTATCTAACATTTTATGAACGAGATCACGGGAAGGCGGAAGTGGAATTTTTTGAAAACCCGGTTCTCCATGAATACCTTTGAAATATAAATAAATGTGAATTGGAATTTTGCATAATGTTGTAATTTTTTTTAATGAAAAACTACAAACCCATGCCCAACTCAATGATGCCTTTAGGCAATGTAGGACTATGTGATGAACCAGGAATTTTACAATGATCAAAAGCGACACCAATTGTACCGATATTTTCAGCCACTAAACTAGCTACTGATTTTGTTTCTTCAAGCGTTCCACTAAGAAAAAGAATTGTTGTCAACCAAGCAATTAACAAAATAACTAAATCTATCGCCATATTAAACATGTTATTATTTTATATTACCCTGCTGCAGCCACAGCTCCTGCAGCCTTATGCACCAAAACTGTCCCTGCCAAACCCCGTCGACCAACAGCGCTGTTCCTACCGATGCTAACATCATCACCCACAATGATCATGTCAACCTTAATACCTTCGCTTTTTGCTCGTTCAGCCGCCAAACCAAAGTTTAAGCAGTCACCAGTGTAATTTTTTACAATCAATAATGTACCATGAGGCGATTGAACCCTGCGAATTCCAGCTAGAATTGCGGTCACTGAAGGCGAAGCAAAGACATTTCCAGAGACAGCGGCTGAAAGCATTTGAGACCCAACATATGCTGCCTAAACAAAATAGAAAACAAATAAATAAGTAATTTTATTTATGAACTTAAGAATTATTTACGACTAGAAGTAATGGAATTCCAGAATTACATGTGCAGGTTCATGACCAGCTCCACCTTAATTTTTAAATTAATTTTAATTCAGCCGCTTTAATTTAATTGCAAGTATTTTTGGAAACTTAAATTATTTTACCCCCGGAAATTATGGTGACTTGTTTTTGTCTAATTTCATCAATATCGGCCCTATAGACGACTATAAAAAATTTTTTAATCATCATTTTAATCAAATTTTATACATAACAAACTTACTTTTTTCCTTTTCAATTAATCTTAAGGAAGGATATGTTAAACAAAGCCCACGAAGTGATTTGATAACGATATTTTCAGACATTTTTGCATTTTTGTCTGAAGTGTAGCAATGAAGCATGATTATAATCCATCTGATGTTGTTGATCCTGAAATTTCATTGGATGTTTAAACATTTTACAAAAATTATCAATCATATGAACAAATCCTTTAACGAATCTACCGGTAAACTCTAATTAATTATACTGTAAATTTTATTATCGTTATATATATATATATATGATTTATATGTATAAAAAGTATGCTCTAAGCACAATAAAAGAAATAAGAAAAGACATGCCTTGAGTCAAGGCACGCCTGTTCTTCACAAAATTCGGGTTCACAATTGATTTTGATTATCGCGTGATTTGCCCCGCATTAAACCAGCAACCAAAAAAGCATCTTTAAAATAATACACAAACTTTAATTATTTACAAACTAAATTGTTTATTAAATAAAAAAAAATTCACACATACCGCACCCTAATAACAAAAAAAAAAAAAAGATAATCAAGAAATAAAGTATATGAAGTTGCTTAACTTCTCTACTATATATGCAAAATAATTTTTTTCATAATTCCGAAAAATGTCATAGATTACGAAGTTTATGGTAATGTGTTGCTAAGTGTCTAAAGGAAAAGTTATGTTACAAAAAAAAAGCGACAAGTCTATTGCTTTCTTGTGAAAAAAAAATCTTATATTCTATGATATTGTAATGATATTAATGATGCAAGAAAAGGAATTATGGAACATTAATGCCTAAATAAAATGAGTAATAAATGACAATATTTTTAGCAATCAAATTGCTAATAATTTATTAGGCGTGATCTGTTGTAATTTCCATTTTGCTGTTTTTTAATTAAATCACGATCAGCATTCTCCAAGACTTCAACGATTCCTCGAACAAGCATTATTTTAACCTCATCAATATCATCAGATTTACCCGCCGTTACATATTTATGTTGAGACATATTATTTGCATTCATTTGGGTTACCTCCAATTTTTCGTATATTCGCGTTAAACACTGATCTAAAAGTATTTTTAACTTATTCACCAATGTAAAAGAATTATTTTCACCACTAAATTGTAACCAATCATCGACGATTAAGTTAAAATTATTAGATTGATTGCTTGTTCGAATTTCACCACCAAAGAGTATTGTTGATAAAGGATCAATTCGTGTTGTACTTCTAAGAAATACTTGGTGCCCACTAGCTTTAACCTTGGACGAATATGCATAAAGTGTGCCTATAGGAGCAATTAAATTTTCATCAAATTCACTGCTTTGTTTCAAAATATGACTATTCTTTATAGTTGCTGCTAGTCTTGCTGCTCGTTCTTTATAATTTACAGAAGCTGGATGAATAAAGGTTGCGTTTTCGTGTCTAGTTCGAAATGTTTTTTTTGAAGTTTTTAATGCAATGTTCGGATACACTCCAGCACAAATCAATGCCCGGAGAAGTGGAATACAGTTAGAGTTCAAATTATATTCTGGTGGTCCTAACGCCAAGTCACGACGATTATGATCCCGTTTAGGTACAACTCCAGCACGTTCCAAGAGGCTTAGTAATTGGATTTTGATTTGTTCAATAGTTTGCAGACATGGTTTGCTTAATAGGTTTTCGGTACAAAATTTGTTAGCAGCATGTAAAGAGCCTGACGATTGAAATTCGTACCAAGCATTGTAAACATTTAGAACGGCAAAGTGATCACATGCTAATCCTTTTGACCAATAAAATCTGATCTCATCGGCACGGTCTTTAGCATAAGGAGGGGACAAAAATGGATTCTTTGAAGCCATAGATGCACCAATTGTTAAAATTGGATCTAGACACTGAAATATGGCTCCCAGGAGCACCATCTTACCTAAGCCTGGCTCCAAAGGAAGCGTAGCCAACACTTTTCCCAAGGAAGTTAATTCCTCATTATGATCTAATGCTTGTAATGACTTTAAATTATCTAGAGCAGCAAAAATACTAGCTTGATCTGGAGGTTGGATAGCTTGTGAAAGAACATCACTAATTGTTGCTGGAAGACCAAGTGCTTTAATATGTAGGCAAATCTCTTGCAAATCAGATCTCAACATCTCGGGAGTAGAGTAACCTTCAAGACTTTGGTATCGAGTACGTGTCATCATCACATAATATTCACCTTCACGAACACGACCAGCTCTGCCTGAGCGTTGACGAGAGTTAGATTGACTTATCCAGGTAGTAACTAAATTTGTCATTCTTTTTGACTGGTCATATCGTTTTTCTTTGACTTTGCCTGAATCGACCACATAAACAATATCTTGAATAGTTATAGAAGTTTCCGCAATATTAGTTGCTAAAATAATTTTTCTCATGTTCGAATTTGGAAGTGATTCAAATACTCCTTGTTGAGACAATGAAGGAAGAGAAGAATGAAGAAAATGAATTCGAAATCTTGAATTATTAGAAAAATCAATACCAAGTGGGTATGGTGGGGAAGTAAGGAGCCGATTTAGAGCCATTATTTCTTCCAATCCAGGTAAGAATACTAGGATGGCACCTTCCTTAGAAGTATTAACAATGTGCGCAATCGTCAATGCCATCAAGTTATAAGGAATTTCAGCATTTGCTTTCTCAACATCATTATGTTTAGAACCCATCCAATCATTAATTCCATTTGATGATCCAACAGACACGTTATCATCATCAATTTCACTACAAATATTATCTATTTCATTATCAATATCCATTGTGTGACATTTCGTTTGATTGTTCATTTTTTGTGGTAACAATTCAGAACATTTGCGCATTTGAGTATATTGCATTTCACGATCAATATACTTTAAAGAGTCCGAATAATCTAATTGTGGTGCTTCTGATGGTCCATAATGCTCGCGTAATTTTGAAATGAGATCTTCCAAAAAGAATTGTTGTACCGGAAATATTTTACCAGGGACTTCGACAACAGGACACCTTCCAGTTGAAAAGAATTCACCGAAATATTCAGAAAAAATTCCCGTATCGATAGTCGCACTCATAAGAATCAGTTTAATTGGTGGTCGATTATTTAGGCGTCTTTCACGAAGAATTTGCTTCAAAATTACCAATAAAAAGTCTACATTCATATCTCTTTCGTGAACCTCATCTACGACAATATGGGTGACACCTTCCAATGCATCCATTCCATTTTTTTCATCATGCATTCGTCGAAGAAGCACACCTGTAGTGCAATATAAAATACTTCCAGATGATGCTGGTTCTTTTGCGTCAAATCGGACACGATATCCAACAGTTTGACCAAGTTTCTCCGAACGCTCATAAGCAACTCGTTGAGCCACTGATATAGCAGCAATTCTTCGTGGTTGAGTTACGATAACATTACATCGTGAACCTTGCTGTTGCATAATAGCATCTTCAAAAATCATTTGGGGCAACTGAGTTGTTTTACCACAGCCTGTCGATCCGACAATAACAATAACAGGATTGTTTTTAATCGCTTCAAGTATTATGTCAGAATAATGAGTAATTGGAAGTTTATTACGACTAAAGCGGATTTTTTCCGTTTGCTTAGAAAATAAATAATGTTGATGGTCTTGATAAAGTTCTTTTGATCTAATGTTAAGGTTACGAGCTGTGAATTGATCTTTATTTTTATTCCCTCTTTGATTTATTTGATCCTCAAAAGTTTGATATGATTTTGACTTATCTTCATAATCAACTGATCTATCATCTAAGTGAATTATGTTGGCATCACATAGATCGTTAACCAATCGATTAAGAGTACGAAAAGCTGACTCATTTATTGAAACATTTATTAGAGGTGGTGGTTTAATCGAATTTTTATTACTTTTAGTAGTCTTGTCAGTTTCAAATCTCTCCCAAAGATGTGGTGAATCTTTACGTAATGCTATTGCAGCATCCAAATAAGCAGCAGCTTGAGCTTCACGTTTGCTAGATCCTTTACCTGAACCAATAATTGAATCTTGAACTATCAAAGATGCTTTCCATAACGTCCTGTGACTTGGTCCAATACCATCATAAATAAATTCAGGAGTTTTGAATTTAAAGAATCTACAATAAAATCGAATAAAATGTCTTGCAACAACTTCTGACATTGTATTATTACTTTCAGTTTTTGTATAAAGTTCATCACCATGAATCGTCTTATATTCTTCAGCATGCTTTTTAAAAGCTTCTGCGGCTTTGATTTCTGCTTCTTTTTTGGTTCGACCACGCCCACGACCTATTAAACCTTGAGAAGTAAATTCAACAACAGCTTCCCATTGTTTCTCATGATCGGGTCCTAAACCAAACACTTCGAAATGTGGAACGTAATCGAATGCTGCACAATATTCAATCACATGTTTCCTATAATCAATTTCTGAACCTTGTTGAGTTGACTGTCGAATAAGATTTTGACGTTGACCGGATGGAGAAGTTAAATGAATCATCAAACCCTGAGCCTCGATAATATAACATGAATCTAAAAAAGCAATCTTTTCAGCATCTTTTTTGGTCTTTGCATCACCATGACCAATTATTGTGGTACCCGCAATCTCCAATGTGATGGTCGCTCTATGTAATTTATTATCATCAGGACCAAATGACTCCCATGCAATAGGATTTTTAATGATACCACAAAGAAAATTTTTTGGATATTTTAACCAAGATTCATTTTCTTTTTTCGAATTAACATCTACCGTATTATATGTTGAATTGATATAATCAATATCATAGAATACTTTTGGTAAAGGTTTTGTAGATTTTTCAATTTTAGCATTAGAATTTTGTTTTGACCCTCGAATAAGGGGTATATTTTGTTGATTAGGCACGGACTTACGATTCTTATTTTTAGAAAATTGATCCGGCAATGATGGAGATACATAATTAGATTGTGCGTAAACAATATTCTCACCATTTGGTGATTTTTGTAACATTTGACTACTTGCACGTTGTCTATTTTTTGAGATAGGATCTGCTGGTGGCATAGGAGACAAGGGTCGCTTCTTCGTAGTTGACTGATTATTAGAGATATTAGTCATTGGTTGAATTGACCGATTTATTCCGAGAAAAG